AGGTTCAGGTGAGTGCACGATCTGAGCCCACCAATGGCTTTGAATGAAGCTCTGCTTCCTAAAGCTGTATGACCCTGGACTAGTTCACACTGCCACAGTCTGTTTCTTCCTTTATAAAATACACACCTCAAAGAAGAATAAAATGACATCAGCTGGCGCCTGAGAGGGGAAGCTGAGGCAGGATAATTGCTTGAGCCCAGGAGTTCGAGGCTGCAGTGAGCTATGATTGCACCATTGCTCTCCAGCCTGGGTGACAGAGCAAGACTCTGTCTAGGGAGGGAGGGAGGGAGGAAATAACTTCTAGAAAGCTCTTGGCTTAGTACCTAGTATATAGGCTACAGTTTATTAAGTGCTTGCTATTTTTACCACCACTGTTAGTGTTTTGATATATTTTCCTTTCAGTCTCTTTCTCTACATTTTACAAAATTGAGACTAAATGTCCAATTTTGCATCCTGCCTTTTTTTAACTTGGCATTCTTGTTCTCACCATACTCCTATATTATGGTTTTAAAAGCTGGCATAATACTCCATTTTGTAGATAATACTGTTATTTGACCATTTCCATACTGTTAGAGCTTTATACATTTTCTATTTCCACTCTATAAATTGTTCTGTACACACCTTTGAACACCTTGATTATTTCCTTCGGATAGATTTCTGGAAGTGGGATTATGTGGTGGCAAAATGTTTTTAAGAGTTTTGATACAGATTTCCAAATTGTGAATGGAAAGATTTTTTTCAGTCAATTACTTGGGATGACCCTAGAAGTAAAGTTCTTAAAGTGGTTCTCTCCTACGGGATGTCCACAGGGTAGAGACCCTGTTAATAAACGGGGAGTATCTTTGACTTTAAGAAATTGCTTTCCCATGAGATCACGTGCCCAAGACAGACCTGAAACAGGTGGTGTACAGGGCTGACAGCCCGAGGAGATGGTCTCCTTTACATTGAGTTGTGCAGAACATCCTACCGTTCACTTTGTGGTGCATATTTAAATATTAATCATCATGTCATCTAGGGAGTGTCTTTTCAAAGCTGCTACCATGGAGAACGTACGGCTCTCCTCAAATGCTCCCTTTGCTGAGCTACGTGGATGGCTGGAATGTTGGGCATCAGCAGGTGATTTTTCCTCAGCCTGACCCCGAGTGGAGCAGGGCTTGGAGGGTCCTCGGTGGGTGAGCACTGAGTCTGGGGCTGGGCGGCCATCAGGCTGGGTGTGTGTCCCTCTTTTCTCTTTCACTGGTTATGGCCCTTGGTGTTTGGGTTAACAGTACATGTGCTTGACTAGAAGGTTGTAACATTTGTCTTAGCCTAGAGCCAAGGATAGTGACACTGTCATGAGCAAATGAAGAAACAGTTCCCAGTGTGGGAGGAAGAGCATTGGACTGAGTCAGGAGACCCGAGTTCTTGTTTCAGCTCTGCTGCAAACCCGC